ACCTATCTAATCATTCACCATGTATAGACCTGCGGCCAGTGATCAGATGATCGGTGGGCGTGCACTGACCAGCCGCGGCGGGATTAAACCTTAATAGGTCAACGAGGTCAACTCCTCCTGTGCAAATTGTGCTTCAGTTCGCACACTTAGGAGCTCCGCGGGTCCCTCAACCAGGTGAATTCTTCCTAATTCGATTTTCCCTCTGATCGTGAATTCGTCCTTTAAATTGTTGTAGCCGAATATGCCCAATAATGAAAGCAACGAGCTCACAGTGATCGGAGAATGGTCTCGATTGGGTGCTGCTAACCGTGGAAGTTAGCTCTGTCTAGGATGCCCTTTAATTGTCTAGGATGCCTAAAAATGAGTGTCGACAGCCAGTTGTACCGTTTATTGATACCCCAAACTTGGGTAATTAAACGAGTAGAACATTTTTAAAAGGTTAAATATGCAAAAATACGAAAGAAATAACCAATAAGATGAAAATTCGAGAAAGATAGATAAAAAGGATTCGTAGGGGTTGTCTAGTAGGCTGAAAGTCAGCGTTGTTGTGGTTTTGCAAGAAGAATGGTATTATCTCTTCTCACCGAAACCATTCATGTGTCGTGGTAGGGTCAACCGTCCTTTGGACGTTGTCCAACGAGGGGTGGGGGTCGTATTTGGGGGTGGAAAAGAGGGGGGTCGTATTTCGCGAGGTAGCGTCAATGTTACAGTAAGGGAAGGGATGTTTTTATGGAACGGAGAGCGGATTAGGTTGTAGGCTGGGATTTTGGGTTGAGTGTTGAGTGTGAAAATTTTGCCGTTTCACATTCGATATATACCCCCCGCTCGACGGCAATTTTGGAGGGAAAAGTGGGCGGAGTTGGGCTGTGTCGACTGGTCTCAGAATCAAATACTATAGAATCGCCCCATGATGGCGATGGCAGGCGAGGGTGGTGGAGGATGGCCGTGAAGGGTTAACCTCTGAGGGGGGGAAGGGTCGTAAAATTTTCGCAATTAGTCCAACTTGACGGCTAACCATGGTCGCGGTAGCTGTAGGGAGCCATAGCTACGACGACCTTGTAGACTCGGTCAATAAGGGAGCAGTGCGCGGTTTCATTTTCATGAGAACAAGCTTTGTCATACGCATCTGCAGGATCTTAACACATCGAAAAAGTGCTGCAATCATGGGCAAGTTGGTGAGGTTGGGCAGATCTGTCGCTAGCTTCTTCAAGGCAAATCTTTGAGTACCAAATCGTCAGAAACTCAGATTTAGTGGAATTCGACGCTTTTCTCAAAGGTAATGGGTCTTGAGGTAAAAATTTTTTACCAGGTTGGCCCCACGCCAACTGCCGAGACCTCCTTCCCTGTGTAACATTACACCCTCCACTGTGGTTCCTACCACTTGCTGCGCCAAAAGCTTGAAAGGTTGACGCAGATGCACTAAAAGGACCATCACTCATAGTCAACCATGCGTTGCGCGAATCTCAAGAAATTTACGACTCCCTTCCAATTAAAGAATATCAGTGGGACCCTCGTATTAGCCACTGTATTAGCTATTTATGTCCTTTTACATGCCCACCATCGATGTGTGGGCCTCCATCAACATGGAAAGAAGTGTTGCGTAGTGGGAGTCCACGCGCTCAGTTCGCTCAGAGAATGGCAATCGAAGCAACGTGGAATTTCGCTCATTAAACTGAAAAAATCTCCGAGTTTTTCATGTGATATTAGGCATGTTTGTGATCGCAGAGACTTCTACTATAAGAAAACGACCAGATTAGTGCATGTTTGTGATCGCAGAGACTTCTACTATAAGAAAACGACCAGATTTTTTTTCAAACTTCCAAATATCCATTTTAAAACTCAAAAACTAAACCTTGCAGCAATTACGTTACGACACAGACCTCTTCATTTTTGAAAGTTTATATCTTTCTCAAAAGCGGTTTCATGACACAAGTTGAAAACTACAAACAATTTTCTTTCAAAATGTTTTTGAACTTTTGTTTATCTTTAATTCTTCAAAAAATCGTCCCGTTGTTCCATTTTCTGTGCACACGCGAGTTTTCGACATTCAAACACACTTTCTTCATAATCAACTTTTTGCAGATGTCTAAGGCTAATTAGAAACTAGAAGATTAGCGCTTTCAAACAAGCACCTGAAATTTTCCAGCGATCATTCTCTCAAAAAATAGTCCCGTTGTTCCGTTTTTGGGGGTTTGTGGTCCGATTTTTGAGAAGGCGCGAGTTTTCGACATTCAAACGTTCATAACTTTCTTCATAATCAACTTTTGCAGATGTTCAAGGCTAATTCGGAACTAGAAGATTAGAGCTTTCGAATTCTTGCTAAAACTCAGAGAAAATTACTTTTTCAAAAAAGTCCAAATGTCTCTGCAATCTTCAAACGTCCATAATTTCTTTCAAAGTTCGTATAACGAGAAGTATTGAAAAGTTTCAAAGTCTATACCAAGAGTGCTTTACAAGGCATGCAAAATTTTCCTGAAAAGCTTTCTTCTGCTTATTTTCTGAGGTGGTCTCTAGAAGTCAGCTGTAACTTTCTTCCACTTAGATTTGTTCTGAAGCATCAAGATTTTTTGAGGAAGTTTGTCTGCTCACGGCCGCTGACAGATAAAGCGTTTTGAAGTGAAAACTCCTGCTCGGGGTACGCCGTGCACTTGTCTTTGTTAGCATTTGAAAGACCTCCACTTCACTGGAGCAGGGAATAGTATAGTGATTGTAGTTGTGTTGTACAGCTATATGCAATCCTGTTCTCTCCATGCATTTCACCGCCATTGTGTATACGACCCCTTCCCCTTTCGTTCGGCCGTATCCGCAGCAAAAGCAGGCACTTGAGTCTGAGGATGAAGCGAAGCAAGTCAAGCAAGAAAGCAATCATTTTATACTGGCGCAGCCATAGTCAACACAATATTTTTCTAATTGAATTAGCAACCCTGATGCTGGTCAAAGGTAAAGCACTCATATAACTCCGCCTAACTCGAGAAAGTTACTTATTTCTCGACTCCGGAGTGCAGAAAATTTCATAGCAGCAAGAATGGTGGACAGTTCAGGTCTCAAAATTGCTATCAGTCAGCGGCGTGTTCACCGCATTCGGTGGTCACTTAACACGGAGGTCTCCAGCATCGTACAGCTTATGTCGGCTGATCTGCTTGGCGAAAAACTCGTAATCGAACTCACTACCAATAGATAGTTACATTTGCGCAACTCCCACCGCACTTACGTCAACTTCATTCAAGATAATTGGTTCACGTTTCCGTTTCGTCAGTCGCAGTCAGTTGTTTCTGACCATACGTCATCGGTATTGGTCACTTCAGGGGCATTCATCTTCAGAACAGCCCGTTTGCGTGCATTCCAGCATGGGTCTGGGTCATTCGCTTTTGGATG